GCGGGGCATAAGGGTTGTCCAAAAACTGCAAAACTGTGAAGAGAAACATAATAACCCGCAAATTATACCCCATCATAATTTGCCGAAATTCCGAAACTAGACGAAACTTCTTATCGAGACAGTATCAGGAGGAGAAAAAGGAGAAAAAACACCGTGTTTTTTTCTTTATTTTAAATTTCTTTAAAGAATAGCCTCTTGTACAAGATCCTGCATGGGAGAAATAAGGAAACTTAAACATTCACTGTTACAAGGCGACACTGTTCCCATCGGATATTACTTAACGGTTATAAATTATGACAGTAGCGGACGGCTTTTTCACCCTGAAGATATCATGTCGAAAACGTTTGGTGTTTTACTTGTTCGATATCCATAAAATTCGCAAATATTGACAAATATTTACAAGGCTAAAAATGTTTAAAAGTAATTTTATGGATATCAAACATTTAAGTTATTTTCCTGTGCAAGGATAGCTTTATCAATCTTTTTTAAATCACTGGGGTCACAGCCGGCTATAAACAAGTGCACATGTATTGCACCTTTTAATCATATTTAGCGTAACAGTATATTCTTCTGCTTTGGTAGCAATGAAATCGGTTTGAGCGATCGTAACCTAAGTTGATCGCTTTTTTTCCGATGGCAAAGCTACCAAAGGAATATTCGTGTACATGCATATCGTCTTCGGATAATTTTAATGAAAATCCTAGACTAATGCATGAATATTCTGCACCACTTTTTGTGACGGCTTCTTTTTAATAAAATCGTAAATGAAAGAATTCAGTAATACAAAGATTAAGCACCGCGCCGAAATGTATTACTCAGTTTTTTAGAATAGAGCTTGCTAGTAATCTTAGATAATCTTCAGTAAATTCTTGTTTCGAATTAAATTAAACAGATTTTTCCAAAGGGAAGCTTGTCAACACTGAAGAATTAGCAGGCTTTTGGGCTGGAAAAGAATGTTGGACAAGACACAAGTTGTATTTCTCAGCTTCATGTCAGACTTTAAAAGTAAGTTATGGCTGTTTTGGGCAATAACCAAAAAGGATATTTTCTGATTTATTATATTCTAAAGTTCGAATCAACAAAGGCTTATCTAGATTTCACGAAGCATTACAATATATCGGCACAAAAAGGAAAGGAAACATGAAGTTATAAGAAACACCTTTTTTACTGGTTCCAAAAACATTTGTTTGTTTTTCAAATGTTACTGGAGTTTAAAGTAGATTCACATTCTTTGACCATGCATGCACCATGGTGTTAACGTTTTCGTGCCACGTTCAACATCGTTATTATATTTTATTTCCGGTGGAACTTTTTCAGTGACATTAATGTTATTAAAGATAACAAATCCCTGATTCCGTGCCGCGCACTCTTTAAGCCCGTCCGTTGAGCTTCAACACCGCCGATTTGCATGACAATATGTTAATCGCTACTTCGAAGGTAAATTGCAACATTCTGCCTCACAAATTCCAAAGACCATGTCAATGTACCAAAACACCTCCTTAGATGTTACCAACTCGACAGTCCCACTTCCAAGAGAATACTGTCACCGATTCCAAGATGAGGAATATTTCATGATAAGCTTCTCAGTTACATTGGCGTCTATAATTCTCGAGGTGTTTTGCTGTCCTTTCGTTATTCTTATGAATGTGTTAGTCATAGCTGCAGTTAGGACGACACATAGACTTCAAAGTGCAAGCAACATACTGTTAGCCTCTTTGGCAGGAACAGATCTGCTAACGGGAACTGCCATTTTACCAGCCTCCATCGCAGGGGAAATCTTCGCAATTGCTGGCGGTTCAGTGACAACATACTGCACCTTAGTGAAAAAGATTGTTTCTCCGTTAAGGTTTCTCTCTGTTTTAACGTCACTTTTTCATCTCGGGGTGATTAGCGTTGATCGTTATATCGCTATACGTTATTCGTTGCAGTACTACAACATTGTAACCAAATTTCGCTTAGCGATAACTATAGCATTTTCCTGGTGTTTAGCTGGGGCGTTCACCATTTTCAAATTGTTAGTAGATACTTCGCTTCCTGTCTTCGTCCTCCAAGGTTTGACGTTTACCTGTGTATTAATAATGGTGTATTGTCATGTTTCTGTTTATTTGGTCACAAGACGCCATGAAAGGCAAATCCGAACTGAACAGATTCCTACAGGAGAAGACACTGAACACTTTCTGAAGGAAAAGAAGGCCTGGAAAACCACTGCTGTTATTATTGGTTTTGTTGTGTTGTCTCTGTTACCAGGTGTTTTCATTAATTTTGGTGTAATGTTCACCTGGGATCCGCGATGGCTTGATAGGTTTCGTCCACTTGTACTTTCTTTTCTTATCCTGAATTCATTTAGTAACCCAATCATTTATTGTTTGAGAATTCAAACTATGCGTCAAGCTATGATCAGATTGTTGTTCTTACGAGATAGAAATCGGAGAGAAAACTGACTGCAGCTATACTGAAAAAAATGACGAAAAAAACATTAACAAAGTTAATAAAATTTTGCAAACAGAAAATTGCACATTTTAGTTGGAAATCTTTCATTTACAACTGGGGCTGAAACTATATTGGTGTAAACTGTTCTGCTGAATGTATCTC